GAAATAATCATCATGTTATTAATTTTCGTACTTTCTCTAGAGTAAACCATTTCACTTATCAATCAATTGTATGATTAAGTGGTCAAAGGATTCAGAGTTTGAACTGGTAGATCACACATGCATACTACGCTTTATCTACATAGGTTTGAGCAATTAGGCAGTAGATTTATCCTGGATACGAAAGTGTATAATTCAAATCTGAGTACATAAGTATGTATATGATAAATGAATTACTGCTCTTAGAATCACGCTTATTGTGTAGAGGCTAATAATCCTATTTAGATACTTAAACTAGAAGCTATGAAACAGGATTCAAACCTGTAACCCAATAGTTTAAACATAAATTCTTCAACTAGTGATCCATCGGTCCACAATAAATTAAGCATACATTATTCAGTAATTGTGTTAGATTACAAACAAAACAAATTCATTATTCAATGACTATTAATAAATGACTTTTATATTCTGTTCTAGGCCGTGTCTATATTGTTTGGATATAAAAAAAGAGATATTAGGAGAGATTGTTGTTTCTCAAAGAAAGGTTTGATAAAATTAATTTATCATGAAACAACTTGAGAAATTATCATTTATTATCAATCATATAAGTGTAAATAAATGGAATTGATGTATATAAATGCTTTCAATTAACGCCACTATGACAACGTGAGATAGCTAATTGAGATATGTATGGATCTTTTTCAAACTATCTATTAAAGTAGAAACTGCTAAGTATATTTATTGATTTGAATTATATAGTAACGATGTTAAGAACTGCAAATGATCAGTCTCTTTTAGTATATGTGCATTGTGAGTGGACTACCTCATTATTGCCATTAATTCAAAGTTGAATAGTGGATAGCATTGCAATCTAGAATGTGTGTTAAGTCTTATTAGTGACTCATCAGTTTGATGTGTCCATATCCCACTGTTGATGTTCATTCCTGAACTCGAAACCAATACCTCTCTCTTTAAACTCCAGACTCATTATCAATTGGCGAGACTATAATTTATGAACTAATCAATCAGATTTAACATAGCAGGCTTTAGATTTTGGCACAAAATTCATTCATCCATTTGGCTAAATAACGTTTTAGCTGGTGTTAGTTCGTGATAAAAACCTTTAATCCTAACTATCAACTGTAAATCATATTTCTAACTTCTCACACTGGTTTGTAACCTTAATTTAACCCTCTTAATACGTAGGTGAACATTCTCAAGGTCACTTTAACGTCTCTCAAAGGTCGTCCGCAAATTACGGTCTCATATATCAATTGATTTGCTACGTCTAAATAGCCACTAGCATGTACATTCATCTGAATTAGTCCTAGATGAGATGAAATGTACATCATTGACATGATTGTTAGGTACTATCAAACTCTGCTCAGTGTTTAGTAATGTTTCAGTACTTTTTATATATGGAGTTTACATTTGTCTGTACATCTTGTTATTGAAATCAATTGGTTTAAATTTTAATTAGAGAAATGAATGGAGATTTTTTCACAATATATCATATCATAGGATTACAATCTAATTTGTTTTTCTTTCTATTAGCTATAAAGAGAATGATAAGAGGAAGGCGTATCTTTTGTTTGACATAAATTATAAAAAATGTCCAATAATGACTTAATTAACTTTTATAGTAGGCGAAAGTTTGGCATTGGCTATCTATTACACATCAATATAATTCAGTTGCGGCGAAATCAATATTTACCATTTTTACAGGAAATAAACTATCCATTTCAAGTGTTCCTTACTTTTTTTTCCTTAGTTTGTCTTATAATCATTATTTTAGTAGTATCTTTTTATTGTTCGATTATCTTCTACAGTTTCTTTATTGCCAACTTCATTAGAGTTTAATGATCTTTTGATTTAATTTCATTGCATCTATTTCAATTTGGGAAACTTAATGATATCATCATTCGTAAAGAGAAAATAAAAAATCTGACTGAAAGCTGATTTTACATAAAAGTGTATTTGGTGTATAAATGAGTTACTTTTATTTGACATTTAATCTTCCTTACTAAAAACTATCATGCTCTTTCGTTGTTCACTATTTCCCATTCATAATACTTCACTAAAGTATTTCGAAATTAAAACAAGAATGGAAAATAAACAATATAAATTCTAATAAAACCAAAAACACAACAAAGATACAGTAGTTGAAATGTTGAAGTTTATATTAGAATTTGCACAATAATCTTGTGACATCTTCTTCTGTTTAGTTGAAAAAATAGACTCATCAGTGTTAGTTAATCAGTCAGTCAACAACAACGTAAAACTTCGTACATATGTGCATCAGTTCAAGTTGCTATACCACATTAAAACAGAGATTCAATTGTCGATTCAAATCCCACAGTGGTAGAGGTAGTAAAAGTATAAGCAGTAATCGAAAACATTAGGCTTTGAACACGTTACTCAAGGAGTATAATCCAGTGAAATAAATTTGGAAAGAGAAAAAACAAAGGGACATGAAAAATTCAGAAGATTAGAATTTGGCAGAACACAAAGAGTGGATGCACCTGCACCATTACAAACGATTTTGAGCCATGTCATTCCAGGTCTCTAACCACAAGTAGTCTACACCTACCAACATGCTTCAATTCACTTGTCCGTGACTTCATGGATTTGTGCCATGTTTTGGTCTGGCCGCCCCTAGCTTTCTTCCAACCTACTCCTACACCATAAAATATCGCTCGTTGACTCATCAATCAATTCCGTGATTTAAGCCTATTAATCAGTTAGGACTTTATCCTGATTACAGAAACTATTATGTAATTTCAATCTGTTGTCGTTCAATATAAGATAATATTTCTTTCTATTATAGCATGATATATTTTAATGTGTTTTAATCAAAGTATCCTTTGTTTCCCGATATATTTCATTTTTTTTATTCTATCATTTTTCTAATAAAATAACAAATGTGATCTATCGTATTTCATGCAAATATGTTAATACATAATGGAAATGATTCGATTTTATCATTTAAAAGTCCTTAACATTTCATAATATCTACTATTTTGTTTGTTTGTTTTGTTTCTATGTTCACCGCCTATTCGAAATTATCCTCTACACACGTCATCATTTAGTTAAAATTAAATAATAATAGTAATAATACACTAATTAATTCTATGCATGCTTACCATTTTACAATAAAGATTAACACGGCAACATATAATGTGTTAAGAATTGAGGGAGAGAGAGAGAGATAGAGAGAAAAATGTAATTCTTTTGATAGGTTGATGATCATTTTATTAGCCAGACAATTTAATATTCACTTATTATGTCTGTGTTCATGTTGTTATGGAACGACAAGTGAATTATTTTGTTTTCTCAACACTTTTTAGTTATTTTATGAACTATGCATAATTGTTCAGAATTATTGTATATGCCAAATTTAATCTATTGTTTATTTCTTATGTCTCATAATAAGTAATATAACATAAAAAGCAGTGCGTGTGATGATTGTATAATTAATTTAATAAAATATTACAGTGACTGAAGTGATCCAATTTGTAATTTGCTCATGATTATGATTCTCAAGATCTCAACTGATAAATTAATTGAAGTTAGACATTAACACCGTTGGATAATGGCCGACCCAATGGTCTAATGGTTAGGCGCTCGTGCACGAGACTGATAGGTCCTAAGTTCGAACCTCGCAAGGGGCGGGATCGTGGATTCGCACTGCTGAGGAGTCCCATAATAAGACGAGACAGCCGTTCAGTTCTCCAGGTTTTCCATGGTGGTCTAGCTTCAACTAACTCATGATCTCAACCATTGATAAATAATTCTTAGAAGATTGTTGTGTTCAGTCGTGTGATTCAGTTACTATTTACCTACAGTACAAATGACAAGAGTGAAATGGGTGGGAAGGCTTAATGGCTAAACCGAATCATAATATACACAAAATCGTAGGTGTATATATGATTATCATTCTGACAAAATCAGTGACATTTAGGCTAATGGGGTCTTCATTAAGTGCTTAACCGAATTCGTCTAACAGCTTACTTCAGTTATAATTTCTGGCGTAAATTTTGACCTTGAGTTGTCGTATGTGCACAGATAGCAGTTAGTTTTCAGTATCACACTAGATGATTACTCTATAAAATGCCACATATACTCACAATGTAGTGAATGGGAACTCATTGTTTATTGCAAAATTATAGAATGTCTTGATAAAATAAGAAAATCATACATTAAATACGTCATTTGCACATTTTCTATAAATTGTTTCTCAAATGCTTCATCGTTCCTCCATTTCTATTGTTATCACAGTTACTACTTGTTTATATTTCTGTTCTCTTCAATTTAATCTTCTCAACCTTCTGTTGTCAGGCCCTCCACTTCTGATATGTGTTACACACTACTTATGTCGACAGACATAAGTTGGATAAACCAGAGTTTTTAAATAGCTTGCTGAAAGAAATCCACTTATTACATTGAGCAACAGATGTTTCTCGTTACTGTAATGCTTATACTTATTTCTTTTCTTCGATGAAACTAACATTTACTTACATCGATCTTCAGTGTTTACACTATCACTTTGTCTTTGAGATAAGTACAAATATAATAGAATTTTATTATTTATACGAATATTCGTCAAGATTAGAACGAATAGTTTGACAGGAATTGGGCGCCGAGTATAGAAAAGTCATTATATGTATGAATTATATTTGAAATAATCTCAGCAATTGGAATTTAAATAGTTCCAACGTTTCGTCCAGCTAACTGGTCTGGACTTCTTCAAGGCAATATCCTAAAGAAAATAGTTATGGAATATATATGAAGTGATTATGCAATAAATTGAAGTAACTATTCACCACATTTTCATATTTTTTGTCTATCTACCTATACAAATATTATTGATTGGGATCGAAATGATAAAAGGAGAGGTACACAAATAAATAAATCTTATAAACAGCGACTATGAAAATATAATTATAACCATTGTATTTTATCTGTTCTCTTTTTACTTCCTGTTTTTTTCTCTTTTCTGTCAGATGTATTGTATCATTAAAATGGTAAATTTACCATTGTATTTATCCTCAGTGGATTTACTGATTCTATTGTTCTCCGCTTTGTCACATGATCTTGATCATCCGGGTTTTACAAACTCTTACCAGGTAAATACATTATTATTATTTGATTATTCTTTTTTCTAAAATTTTAATTCAAATAAACCTATTTGATATAATTTATTTGTCTAACTAAGATCAGTTCGTAAATGTAAACCATGAAATCCAGTTATTTCTACAGACACCTCCTTTTTCCAGACAGGGATTCCTAGGGTTTCAGTAAGAAATCGTGATGAGTGCAGTTCAACGATATGGAATGTAAGGCAGTTACTTGTCAATAATATTATAGAATGATTTAAAAATTTCACGACTTGATTGAATTTAAACTTGTTAACCATTAGATGTCAGATCAGTGATCTAAAGATCAAACACTAACCATGAGGCCTGAAGGTCTTGGATTCGATTCCCAATGGGGTCGCGCATGGACATTGCTGTAGAATAGTTCCATACTAGGATAAAATATTTACTCATAACATAAACTATGTAAAATACAAGTATTTGCAGTAGTGGTTTTACTGCTATTATTAGTAGTTGTACGATTAAGTTATATGTATAAGTGTTTCATTAAAATATTTTTTTTTCAAATAAAAGTCAAACTTTCTACAAATCCTCATCTGATCTTCTATAATTCGGTGTTTAAAATTTCAATTAACTTGGTGAAAATGTATACAATGAGTGAACATTTCATAATCATTTACTATCAACCATGTCGTACAGAAATGTCAGAGAACAGTATCTTATATATTGTTTAACATTAAAGATCTATTTATTACCTTCCTTTGTTTGATTAGCTTGTACAATGTATTGAATTCCCCACTAAATGAAGAAGTTAATGAGCATTGTTACTCTAGTATCTGTATGAGTCTGATTGCAACTGGTAAGGATATAACGAAATATAGCACAATAACACAACCCAACATTACTAAACTCGTTACATAACGCTATATGGAACCAATACGCTCAGGATGCATATTTATCAACAAAGATTAATCGATTACAGTCCCAAATACCAACAATAAGAATTTACAAGTCACCACTAATACTTTCATACACAGTGAACAATTCAGTAGCTTAGTGGATAATGCGTCGGACGTATAGAGCGAAAAGTACCACGTTCAAGTCCCGATATGGCCCCCAACACTAAGATGCAGATGCATCTTGCTGACGAGTTCCAAATTGGATGATACATGTGCCCTGGATTCTACTGCTAACCTCACATCAAATATACTAAACACACGATTTTAATAAAATTTATGTAATAAACCTATTGTATGTCTCTTGTTATTTTTAAATATCCATTATATATGACCTGTTTTCTACGCTTCTCAAGGTACATGTACAACTATAATGAGGTGTAGTACATAATAAAATTATCATTAATTTGAATATGTTTTGCAGAAGTTCCCAAAACTTTTAAACTGTTAATAACCATTTCAAAATAAAACCCTTGACTTCTGTAATTTAACTGACCATAGAAGTGAACCATCAATTCTATTTTTATGCTGTACAATTTTCCTCGATTTTAAAATTTCTAGGGAGTAGTTGTAAGTGTTCTGTAGAGTACCAAACATAATTTGAATTTGAATTAGTCTTATTTTTATTAACAATTTAGTGGATAGGTAATAGTTTAGAAAGCAAGCATTAAGCTTTATAATTTACTTACACTATTACCTAGCAAACTATTAAAACGACTGATGTACATAAAGACATTTATTTTCATTGGTTTCATTTAAAGAAGTAAACAATGGTGAATATGTATCTTTTTTGAAGATATTTCTTGATATGGCCGGGAGTGGGGAAATACTCATTGTACTCTAGAAATGCTCTCATTTGGCCGCTCATTTATACTCACTGCTTTATGCTGATGGTGTTGCTTACCTAGCGAATCTCCGGGGTTTGAGCCGGATTAATGACTACAGAGGAACCCGTCAGGGGAGTTAGAAAGCCCTAATTCCCAACTAATGGTTAGCATGAGCTTCTGGGTACTGTGGGAGCAAAAAGCTTATAGACCTATCGTGAGATTTTATTTCCTCAATTACTCACTGGCTTATAAATTAGACCGTTAAGCTAAAAGTGAAGATAGTACCCTCTTAAGTTAACCACCTGCTCCAACCTGGGCGCTTGATATCGCCAACTATTGTTCATAATAATTGACTGGACTCTAACCGAGATGGTCTCCATCTACCAATATAGCCCAATCCAACAGTTAGTGACTTCATAGTTCATGATTTCTCTGCCCCTAACTTCTGACAATGTACTCCTATTCCAACAAACTAACTGATTTTGAAAAGAGAAGGGATAAGTTGTGATCAATGGTGGAGTCTAGCCGAATAAGCAGCAAGACAAATCTTACTGATGACTTTGAATGTCTGTTGCTCTATAGTACCGTAAACGAAATGAAGCTGGAAAAACATACCACTGTAGTTTTCATTTCACTGGTGTTAAATTGTAATTATCTTGATAAAATTTAAAGGTTCTAGGCTCCTATGTCTTGTATGTAATCACCAGTTTTCACTTTTGAGGAGCCTTCAACAAAACTTGATATGACAAAAAGCCAACTCCTTGAGTTATTTGGTGCATGTGTAGTCGAATTTTGATACAAGAGAGCAGATATGTTGGTTTTTTCCGAGTACAGATTGATTCGTTTAAATTGTGTATCTAGTATCAACTTCCTTCTGCTAACCAATAACGTAATAATAGTGGGAAAACAGCCTATATCAATACTAAACGATTATGTGGTTTTCTCACACTCATTCACTCTCCAGATAGCCAGAACAAAACATAAAATACACCAGGTAGAAAACTTCTGATCATACAGTTTGAATTTATAAATCATTCATTCATGGGAAGATTCCGGAAGTTCAATTTTTTTCCTCATTTATCCCGTTGTAGCTCAATGACACGATTGGTTTCCTCCAATTAATATCGATTCATAACAGTAATACTAGTAATAATATTAGCGATATTGATAATAATCGTAAAGATTATGATTGCATTGTGGCAAATAAATTTTATCAAATCTATAATTATGGAATGTAAGCTAAAGATAAACAATGAAAGAAAAATCTTTTATTTGAATTCAATCAGTTTAACAACTGATAACCAATAGTGGCATATGGAGTCCAAGTGTTGTTGTTATTACTCTTATCCCTTGTCTCTTCTCTTCTTTTCCGTTTCGATTCTTTCTTTTTTTCCCCGATCATTCTGTTCATCTAAACCTCTCTATACGAAATCACTGTTTTTTTTTCATTGTACTAACTAAAAACTATGCCAATTAATCTAATCATCAGTATGAAACAAGTATAGTGTATCAGCAGTGGCTAATTGTATAGTATCATATGAATCTATAATAATAATAATATAGATAAGTGAGTATCCTATTTATAAACTTCTTTTGATGATAGTTTCAGATTTATTTAACTGTTTTTTCTCTTTAAAGAAAACGAATCTTTTATAACTGATATTATCAAAAATCGATTCGATGATAAACTATCTTATAGAATGATGCACGTATATTTTTGTATGTTTGCATATATATATATATATGTGTCTACATACACTGTTATAAGTTTCATCTTTTTTTCGTAAAGTCGATATGCTTCTTCATTAACCCAAAACTGATTATTAGCTCATCAAACGAATAATGTTATTGTTAATAATAATAGTTTTTATGGGAGTCAGTTGGTTAGTGAACTGTTTCTTTTTCCACTTCCCTTAAACCTGTAATTTACTTTAGTTAGTTTTTATTAGAGAATTGGTTGAAGAAGTAATCAATTTGTTTTATCACTGCTTACGTTAGGCGTAGAATATTAGGTGAGAATGATGAACAGTTGGGGATGAAATTATAAACTACGATTGAATAATTTTTTGATTGAGATCATGAATCAATTGATTTTAGACCACCGTGAAAACCTGGAAGCACTGGACGACCGTTTAGTTCTAGTATAGGATTCCTCATCAGTGCTCGTCCACTATCTCGCGCGCGGTAACTGTTACACACTTATAGTCTGCATACATTGCTAGTTTTAGGCGATTAGTTTGGGCAAAAAGGATGTATGTGATTAACTCAAGACATACATATAGCATCAGTCTGTGAAGTCTTTTCCTATTGATCTGTGCAAACCTTATAATTATTGACTTTGGCGAGATAACTGTGATCAGTATTTGCAAACTCTAGGCAACATAGTTCAAAAACATGGTGTGCATACATTTGTTCCTTATCTTCCCTTGTATTATTTTCTTGTTACTATGATGTGAAGCGTATCCGATTTCATTTAGTATATGTATATATCGTGTCCTATATTGAATGATATCTGTGCCCATCATCTATCTAATGTTCTCATGTTTTTTCTATCAGTATAATACTTCATAATAGTTAATTCAGTTGTATGTTATTCCATAGATCAATATTCATTCATCGCAATAAATATTTATCATATATGATTTAGTTTTTATTTTCAAAAGTGTATTATCAGGTACTCTAAAATATAGAATTGATCGATAGAACTCGATCACAGCACAGATAAAGGACTAGATAAGCATGAAATTGCTCACTACTTAGTGATCAATCAATTGTAAATATATCTCAGTCCTGTATGAGGTCAGTTGTGACTTGAATAGATCAGTAGTAACGTCTAAAACTGTGAAACCTAATGACGCGGATTTTAATCTCACATGCAGCATCAGTTCTGTCAAAATTATGGGTATCTCTTTATAACGAGTACCAAATAGCACAAAATCTTAGATCCATGGTTTCATACTGGCTACTTCTAACCACCTAACATATTCACTTTGTCCTTATCAACTCCTTTAACTTGTGGAATCGAATCAAATAACCTTTTTTATTCTATTTTGAATCATTTATACAATATGTGGTTTATTATATTCCGTCGTTAAATATAACTTACGGACGTGAATAACTTTAAAAAAAGACCGTTGAATTGTTAACACCAGCATAAAACTAAGATTTGTGAAACTTCACTAATGTATATTGTTGTTTTCGAAACTAATTAATTTTCGAAGGAACATTCTGTCAATTGACTGAAATGTTATCAAGATGATTATGTTTGTAGGTGTAGACTGTAGATGCTGTATCACAACCTCTGAACATTTCGAGCCTTCAATTAATACATAATCGTTTCAGATTATATATGTATAACATTAATTCTGATGGACTTTCGACTCATGTATGTACTTTACAAATTGCGTTTGAAACCTACTTTTAAGACTGATTTGTATTGGTAGGCGTGTTTTTTTTTTGCAGTTATTATCTTTTTTATAATTCTAAGAATATAATAAATATTAAGTAACAGTCTAATTTGTATTAATCAACTGTAAAACATCAGTGTAATAACGTCGAATCTTATTTAATCTATTTACTTAAATGTTCAATTAATTTTAAGGACTAAAAAGTGGTTATATAAACTTGTTTGTATTTTGCTTTTAGTCAACATTTATTTCTCATACTCTCTACGTATGTGTTTTCTCGTACTAATTGCTACAACCCCCCACCCTTTTTTTTTTAGTTTCAACATTTGAACATGGTTCTTTTTTAGAAAAAAAAATCAAGAAGCAGAGCATAATAAAAACTAAAGTTGATTGTGTTTTTTTTGTCCTCATTTAGGGACTTATTGCATCATTTCAGCGTAATTAATATGCATATATATATATATATATATATATATATATATATATATATATATATATATATATATATATATATATACTTTCCACTCTCTTTCTTCTCTTTCATACATATCGTAATAGCTTTTCTATCTTACCAACCCAAAATGATGTGTCTGACTTTTTTTTTTTATTTATATTATGATATCAGGCAAATTGTTTTTTTTTATTTTGTTAAAATCTCTGATCTGGATCATTCTATCAGTCATTCAATTTTTTTTTTCTTTCTTTCTTTTTATTCTATAATAAGAGAGAGAGAAAGATTAGTTTAGGTAGCCTAAAATAATTATTGATTTTTGAGCTGATAAATATTCTTCTAGGTAAACTAGTTAGTTAGTTGATACATTCAATTTGATCGTGTCTCAGTTAAATTACACGCGTCACCATTTAGTCTTTAGTTCATTCAACAATATTTGTATTGACGTAAGCAAATAAAGATAGATTTTGATAGTGGTGGTGGTCGTAGCGATGATGATGATGATATTGGTTGTATTATTATTAGCAATTATAATGATAGACATGCCCTTCAGGCCTGTCAGTTTAAATTCAAGGTCTAATTTTGATTGGCTATGTGTTTCTCTCTCATTCAGCCTTCTTTTTTTTTCACTTTGACGTCATAACATTTGATTTTACACATTTACATTAATAATCACCGTAATACTAATATTAAGATTACCACTACTAGTAATATAATAAGGAATGATTTATTTACTCTTGTAGGTAGATGAAAATTGTAAATATGTTATCAATTATTATTTATTTTTTTTCAAGTAGTCGATAATCATTAGCATTACATGTTTGAATGTATGTGATTTTCTTGCTTCTTGATGTAGGTGACTAAATCTTGTTTAAATCAACAGTAACAATACTACTATTACTACTACTACTAATAATAACAATAATAATATTCAACGATAATTATGTTTTTGATTGAGATCATGAATCAATTGATTTTGGACCACCGTTGGAAACCTGGAAGCACTGGACGGCCGTTTCGTTCTAGTATGGGACTCCTCAGCAGTGCGCATCCACGATCCCGCTCCCCGCGAGATCTCAATCAAAAACTTAACAATCTCCACAACCCCTATACTGATAATTAACATGTGCTCACTAGTGACTAGCTTCGTGAGGGAATTCTCGGAGTTCTAGTGAGAAGCCGTGACCAGTGGAGCTAATCCGTGTCGGGTAGAGACATGTATTTACCTCAGTACAATGGAAGTTGGTCGCGCAATTTCGTGGATTGGTTGATGTTAGACACTAACACCATTGGATGCCGGCTCAGTGGTCTAGTTGGTTAAGTGCCTGGCGCGAGACCGATAGGTCCTGGGTTCGAATCTCGCGGGGAGCGGGATCGTGGATGCGCACTGCTGAGGAGTCCCATACTAGGACGAGACGGCCGTCCAGTGCTTCCAGGTTTCCAACGGTGGTCTAAAATCAATTGATTCATGATCTCAATCAAAAACTTAATCTCCACAACCCCTATACTGATAATTATGTTGATGAAAATATTCAAATCGTACATATAGATCGATTATAACCAAGTGGTAAATAACAAATAAATAAAACGAAATAAATTCATGTAAACAGATAATTATTATCCATTAACGGTGATGAAATGAAAAATTTCCGGTAAAATCAACCATTTGTCCCAAAATTTGAACAAACAAATAACCTTGGGCGGCTAACTACTAATCAATAATTTGTTTTTATCTTTTTAAATATTAGCCTAGTTGATTGAGAATCTATAATTCATATTATATCATAATTCTTATGTACTATAATTTAGTTTTGGAGAGTCAATGAATAACTGTTTCTTGAATGTATCCACTACTGATCTGTGAGACAATGACGATGAAACATATAAAACTAACAACCTTACTGTTTTGTTTTTTATCGACACTAATTCGTATAGTTTGACTAATTAGATTGTTCAAGATTATCCATTTGTTTATTTTTAACTTAAGTATAGAATAAATTATTTTTTTTTAATATTTGGAAAGATTAAACTTTACAGACCTTATGCTGGTTACAAAAATTAATGAAATAATATGAGGTGTAATATTTTTAACCCATTCTTGTTGTGGTGATAGGAGCATTGTTGTATGTGCTGGTTATCTGAAGGAAATACATTACTAACGTTAAACATATGTACATTCGACAGCACAATTTCACTTTCTGACCACATAATTCGCTTCTTTTAATTTTCTGTCCAACCGACCTGGGTTGTATGGTGTCAGACCTAAAGGATGAATATTCAAGCCAATGTAGGTTGATTAGGTCGTCGTGCTATAAAAGCCCAACCATCATGTCAAATAAGGCATTATTAATAAAGTTTTATAATTTGTTGTTAATGATATTCAGGACTATAGTTGACCAGTCTCTGTTGATATATGTGTATCCTAAGTGAATTACCTAGTAATAGCCTTCTAATTGTAAGTTTTATAATATTTAGAATGATTAAATTGAGGAAATCCGTTTAGGATGTACATTTATCAACAGAGATTAATCAATTATAGTATTGAAATATTAACAGCTAGAAATTATAAATCTGGACTAGATACATACATGATAGTGGTGTGGATGTATAGTGATAATGATAATGTGAAGTTAATTACAAACAAATGTTTCTTCATTCATTTTGCTTTATTTTCTAAGTATCTGAATGTTAAACATGTAAATCAAATCAATTAATAATTATACTGTTTTCCATTATTGTTACTATTATTATTATTATCAGTATTACTATTACAATTGAGTAGTATATGATAATGAAACGAAAGGCTTGGTAATTCCATTGAATATCTTTGTATGATATAATTTGTAATACTATGGAGAAATATCTGTTTGTTTGATTTTTTTCTTCATTGAATTATCCTTCCACAATAACTCACTATAAATCACTCAATTAAACATATTTAATTAACTTTTTATGCAACACATACCAGCGTTTATATTCTCATCACATTCATAATTAAGTGAAAGAATTTGATGAAGTAACAAAGAGTATTATTATTATTATTATCTAAATAGATTAATGCTGGCACTTGGCTTGCTCTACGTTACAATGATATATCACCATTGGAGAATCATCATTGTATGACAGCATTCGATCTTATCAACAACAATCCAACGGCAAATATTATCAATGGATTAACACCAAATGAATCACGTCATTTTCGTAGATCTGTGATAAGGTTTGTCGATTTGTATATACATATATACAACTATTATCTTTTTGTTAAGTACATTTTTTCTATCTTAAACCTAACATCCATATTTTAGGACTTTGTTTATGCGTGTGAGGTAATGGAGCCATTTGCATTCTATTATGACGATAATTTAGTTGTGTTTTTTTTTACTTTCATTATGCGATTTTATATTTAAGGTCAACTTTGTCTGTATCTATTTTCTTTCACGTCTTTATCCATATCTGTAAGGCTTTTATTTAGTGAAACATTTCTTTCTCGTCAATATTTTAACATAAAAGATATTGAAAGTAAATCCAGCTGGCGAGTACCCAAATAGGACGAAACGCACATCCTGGATTTCATTGCTAGCCACCACCTATCTCTGCTTATAATACTTGTGACTTATGGCAATATCGAGGCAATCCGTAAAGGACGCACATATGCTAATAAGAGACTGATCAATTGCAGTCCTAAACATCAATAGGAAGATTCAAGCAACCAATGCAAAAATGAATAAAAGATATTAGATTTTTTAAGGTCAGGTAAAATGGACAAACAATTTAGAAATGTATATACTCTATTGATTTTTGTTTGCTGTTACTAAACTAATCAGAATGTGACTCGTATATACTTATTAGTTATGAAATATATATATATATATATATATATATATATATATATATATCCCATTTATTTTTTCTCATTGTAATTTGGAGATATTGAAGTTGGATAGTGGTGGATGTAGGACGACTAGTAGTGGAATACAGTACATCCTTTTAATCCTATTTGAAACTTGTTTACAGGGTATATCTTCATCCTCGTGTTGCATGTTCACCACATTAATACTGAAACACAATACCTTTCACTTTTAACATTCAACGCATTATCTACTAAGCTGACTGATTGTACACGGTAGCCAGATTCAAATTCACTTAACTGACTAGTTTCAAATACGACGTAACACATATCCTATATTCCATTGCTAGTTACTATCCAATTTTAATATAAACTTGTGACTAAATAGCTATACTTAAAACAAACAAAAAAAATCTGCTGACAATAGCATCGAACAACTTTCCAATATTTTTTTTTTTAGATTTTCAACAGTTGTTTAACTTTAATGGATTTATCATCTTAGTAAAAGAGTAAGGTTTTCACTTCAACATTGCTTACTTATTATTATCCTCGTCATATGTTCACAGTATTCTTGAAATATCTATTCTAAAGAGTAGAGTGTGTGTGTGTGTGTTTATTCAAGTGTCTATTGATTTTAATTTATTTTCTATCTCATCAAATAATGAATAATGTGACGTATTTATCATGATATATTCTCTTCTCTTAGCAAAAAAAAGGTGTTTCACATAGAGAGAGAGAGAGCGAAAAAATTGAGTTGAAATTTATGTTTTTAGTTTCTTTTCATATAATTGACAAAAGACAAAACAATTCATTCTAATGTTTCGTCGTTTTTTTCTCTCTCAATTCTTTTCTTTTTCTTTTACATATTTCATATTTCCTAAAATGAAACAATCAAAACATTGGAAATCTATTTCTTTTTTGGATTGGGTTCCGGGGGGTTAATGGTGACGCAATTATTTTTTTCTCAAATTTTATATGTATATATATAAATATATTCACATAGATGTATTTTAAGCACAGATATGGCCATCCATTCAGAATGTCTGTCACAATTTCAAGTTTTACGAAAACAGGTCTATTTGAATTGCCAGTCATTATCTATGGATATGAGTAGTAGTAGTATTAGTAGTATAAAACATAATCACCAAAATATTGATCATTCTTGTTATGATAATAGTCAACAAGGGAGTTGAAAAATCCTGATTCAATATTTCCTTCTCTTCAATTATTATCATCATATATTGATCCTTCATCACCGTCGCCTACACAACAACAGCCTACACTAACAACTTCCCATGATCATTATCATCAGCATCATCGTCATCAACCTAACCATAATGACAATGATGAGACAGGGGTGGACAGACAAAATCGAACAGAAAAATATGACCAATATAATTCATGTATCAATCAGCATGTTGATAATAACAATAATAATAACGTAGTTAATTTTGGGGGTGATAATGACAGTGATCACAATAATGGTGATTATATTAATAATAATGATTATGGTCATATTAATGCATCACTAATCCACTCTTCATTAATTTCATTAATTAATCAACAACCAGAATATTTATTAAGACTTTTAATGATACTGTTGAAAGTATGCGATATATCAAATGAAATTCGTTCACCATTAGTTGCTGATGTCTGGGTGGATTGTTTATTCAAAGAATTTTTTCTACAGGTTTGTGTAATAATTTTTTGTATAATTTTTCCATAGATAAATAATAATGATATTTATAGGTGTTTATTTTATGTTATTACTCACTACTAGAAATATTAAAAATCTGTTGAGTAATTTTTTTTCAATCTTGTAACTTTTCAGCTTTACTTATGATGAGGTACGAAATGATTTGAACTCTTCGACGGTTCATACCTTGAAAAGATATTTCTTCTTAAAGAATGTTAATTGAATTTGAATTGTTATTGATATGATCTTATCGAAATGAAAGTGTAATCATCAATAGCTAAATGATACCGATCATGTGTAAACATTTTCCAGTGTATAAACTTTGTATGTTTTTAAAAATGTTATCACTGGAAACTCCTAAGACGTTAAAGGTGTGTTTGTGTGTTTTTTCTAGGACCGGATTTTCTCCAATCTCTTTTACTATTTGCCAGAAGGTAGCATCCTTGAAGATGTTAGCTATTCACGATCAACATTTCCGTTTTGCCACACGTTTGCATGATTGGAAGTAATGTCTTATCTTTGCAAACGGAGACTTTCTCCTTTAATCTTACGACTTTCCAACTGATACCTCTGAAATGTTAGGACCTGTCAAGAAACAACTGCTCTGGTGAGTAATAAATTGGCTAGGTCACCACCATGAGAAACTCATACATGACACCACATATCTCTGTCATGGTCATCAGTTCAGCGATGACCTAAATAGCTCCCGGATTATATCCGACCGGTGGGTGACCTGCAGTTTTGTATTGGGAATATGCAAAAACAAAACACTTCAATTACCACGCTCATATTCGTGTATTAGGTGTTTTTCATACAATCATTGTAATTCATGATTAGTGATTTTACACAAACTATATTTTTCTATATAATACCTTATGATTACCACTTCGATTACTGAACCTAAGAAATCTACACCACTAGAATTGACTAGTGTTCGACCAGTATCATTTTTGCCTTGTACTGATCGAATTCTATCGATCAAGTTACAATGTAGTCATTATTCTGAACGATTGGACATCGTGTGCACTATGTTCTGATGTTACTTAGAAGTTGCCTAATGTAAATATATCAGTCATCACTTGAATAGCTTAGATTATTGAGCGAGTTTGAACTCCATAGATAGTATTAGTTGCTGAAAAAAATCCCAACTATGTCTTACTAACCAGTTCCAGCTAGCATACAGCTTTGACTCAAGTCTTCTCAATAACTTCCTTACCCTCGTTAACGATTTACACTACTTCATAAAGATAATTAAAACACTATTTTCTTGTTAAAATTAACAAGTCATTCATAACTTATGAAATACTGTACCACCTCAATATTTGATTGACCTATCATATTGGGGAGGGAGGGGTCAAAGACAAAGAGTAACATTTTTCTTCTTCTTAGATTTTCAATTTTCTCATTCAATTAAAAATGAACAATAGAATCAGTTAATTGTATTTATTATAAAGTTGAAATTTAAATTGTTTCATTATCAACTTTAACTCATAAGTTTATCTTTATTAGGGTTATAATTTGTATACCAATTTATAATTTATTTTTCTTGCCAATTATGTCTATCTATCTTCATTTGACCTGAAATTGTTTATTTTTACCATTTTTTTCCCCTCTAAAATGATTTCGTTTCCTATTAACTATTGTTTTCTTTTATGAAAGGAAGGAAAACTGTAAAATCAATACTAATCCATAATATTAATATAAAACTGTTCTGATTATAGGTTATTTGAAAAACTTCATTTCTTCTTATTTACATAATTGAATAATGATAGTTATTCAATAGTGAATTATGAATAAGAATGATAGATTACTAATTAACTCACTTAGTTTTCAACTATTCAGATTGTTGATTTGAATCCTGTTATTTAGATCGTTTGATGATATATGACTAAGCTTTCATACGATATGAGTACGACTTAAAGCTGTTGTATAGACCAGATATTCACACTACGTCAAGTCCTAGAACATAGACACACATTCAAACGCCTCACAATCGTAGTATTTCTCGACCTTAAGGCGGCATTCGACTCTGTTGATCGTGAGGTTCTATGGCAGTGTTTGTCACTGAAACGAGTACCAAAGAAGTACATTAACCTTATACAGGCTCTCTACTCGAACACAACTGGTCGAGTGAGAGCTTATGGCGAACTGTCATCGGAATTGATTACCTAAAGTGGTGTTCGTCAGGGCTGCCCACTCTCTCCATTCTTGTTTAACTTTGTCATTGACGTACCTTTAGAGATAACACTTTCCTCATCTAAATTTCCAGGGGTTGAACTTCTACCAGGAGATTCACTTGTTGACTTGGAATATGCCGATGACATAGTTCTATTTGGTGAAGACGCTGACAAAATGCGGTCTTCTGACCACTATAAGCAACAATGCAAGCATGTTCGGGATGCGATTCTCTCCCTCGAAATGCAAAATGTTGCTTCAGGATTGGGTTACATCGACACCCGAACTAGTGATAGGGAGTGAAGTAGTTGAGTGTGTCGACCGCTTCACTTATCTTGGAAGTCTCATCAGCCCTTGTGGTTTAGTGTGTGACGAAATCTCAGCACGGATACAGAAGGCTCGACTAGCTTTTACCAACTTGCGTCATTTATGGCGTAGGCGAGATATCCGTTTATCAACCAAAGGACGTGTTTACTGCGCAGCAGTTCGTTCCGTCCTACTTTATGGCAGTGAAACATGGCCGGTAAGAGTAGAGGATATCCGTAGGCTACTAGTATTTGATCATAGGTGTCTTCGAAACATTGCTCGTATATCGTGGGACCATCGAGTAAGTAATGCAGTTGTTAGGAAACTGGTACTAGGTAAGGATGGCAAATCAATTGATGACGTAGTGAAACTTCATCAGTTGAGATGGCTGGGACACGTGTTACGTATGCCCAACGACCGACTGCCTTGACGTGCGATGTTCAATGGTATAAGAGCAGGTTGGAAGAAAGCTAGGGGTGGCCAGACCAAAACATGGCACAAGTCCATGAAGTCACTGACAAGTGAATAGAGCCATGTTGGTAGATGTAGACTACCTGGTTTGGGACTGCGAGACGATAGCAACCAATGGTTAGAGACCTTGAATGACATGGCTCAAAATGGTTTGCAATGGTGCAGGTGCATCCACTGTTTGTGTTCTGCCAAATTCTAATCTTCTGAATTCTTCATGTCCCTTTGTTTTTTTCTCTTTTCAATTTTATTTTACTGGATTATACTCCTTGAGTAACGTGTTCAAAGCCTAATGTTTCCGATTACTTCCTATACTTTTACTACGTCTACCACTATGAGATTTGAGTCGGCAATTGAATCTCTGTGTAAATATGGTATGTCAACTTAGACTGATGCACGTATGTACGAAGTTCTACGTTGTTGCTGACTGACTGAAATGTGATTTATTGGTGATACTAGTCAGTTATTCAGCCATAAACATTGTAGAACCTGACAAATATATGTATCACTTCATGTTGCCACACTATATCAGTGCTGAAAGATGAAATTATTAAGATGATTACCAAAGTAGTGGGAGTAGCAATAGTAAAAAAAAGCTTAAACATAGATGACATAAGTCAAGAGGAAAGAATTTGTTCATGGAATAAAAAGTATAAAATACGTTTAGAACTCAAGATCTAGGAATAGATAAATTGTGAATGTATCTGCTTCACTGCTACTCATTCGTAACCGTATCATCCACCATCTCTAAACATTGGTTACGATAAACACGTGGATCCAAACCAGGTAATGGGGGTCTAATAGCTGGCATCTCACTTCACAAATTGATGTTACGTTTTGGTTTGGGCACCTCTAGCTTTCTACCAACTTAACCCTTCACCAGCGAACGTTCCACATCGAGGTGGGTGGTGTTTTAGTATATGTAATACACTTCTTAACCATCTAAGTCGATAAACATTCACAATCTTATCAACCAATTTACTGTCTTTCATTATGTCTAGTTATTATTGAGATGATTAGGCTTATCGCTAAATTATTGAGTTTCAATAAAGGTTTTTTCTAATCGAAATTCTAACTACCATTTTGTAAACCCCGAATCGGCTAAAAACATATGATCTCATGAAATACATCACACCATATCAGTCAGTTCATTGATAACTTGTTAGTTGATCATTACAGCATAACATAATATATCATCAAATTCACCATTTCTTAGTTTATTTTGTAGCTTGAAATTCCTTCATTTTAACTAATGGAAAAAGTAGGAACTAATCTTTGAGATAGCTATGAAAGAATTTATTGCTTAATCGTAGCTTTAATCCATGATCGATTGGTGTTAGTCATTTAGACAGGCGGAGACTATCTACCTGGTTGAGGTCCACGCAATAACCTCTTTCAGTAGTTGTAGTTAACGAGGTTGGTTGACATTAATCAAAATCTGTTACAAAGGCACAGATCAATTCATTCCTTACTTTCACCTTCCTCCTTGGAAACCTTAAATGACTGTTTCGTTCTAGTGTGGTGTGTGCTACTTATATCGACATAAGTAGTATATAAAGCTAGTCAGGAATGAAATGTCTGACGGCAGAAGCTCAAAAAGATCGAGGGGGTAAGAACGGGAACAGAAAGTAATTGGTATGGGAATGCAGGAACATGGAAGTCTGAGGCGATTGACTGATATATGCAAAAGGAGCAGTGAATTTTGAGACAATTGATTGACATTTTGCAAATTAAGTATTCACTGTATCAGAAGGGGTTTTGTGGAGATTTTAGTAATTTCAATAGTTTAAATCACAAGTCAATTGAAGCTGAGGAGTCCCATATTAGGACGAAACGGCCGTTCAGTGCTTCCAGGTTTTCAATGGTGGTCTAGCTTCAATTGCCTAATGATTTCAACTATTGAAATCACTAAAATAATCATCTGCTTACTAGTGACTGACTTCAAGAGGCATTTCCTGGAGTTCTGGTGAGAAGCCGTGACCAATAGTATTCAACCAGGTCTGCTGTGGGTTATCACCTCACTGAAGACAATGGTGTAAGGTGGCGCAATTTCGTGGATCGGTTGAAGTTAAACATTAACACCGTTGGATGCCGGCCCAGTGGTCTAATGGTTAAGCGCTTGCTCGCGAGACTGATAGGTCCTTGGTTTGAGTCTCATGAGGGCATGATCATAGATGCATCCCATACTAGGACGAGACGGCCGTTCAGTGCTTCCAGGTTTCCCATGGTGGTCTAGCTTCAATTGACTCATGATTTCAACTATTCATTGTATGGTCCTCAGATTTCAGTAAGATGTTCTGTAATTTTGTGCTCAAATACATTCAACTGTCCACACTTGTGTTCTCGTTCATTGCACTAGTATGGGATTTTTTAATAGCGGGCATCCACAACTCCCACTGGTCATTGAACTAAAAACCTTTGGTCTCAAACACGAACGCTTAAACTATATTCCACTGAGCTAGCATCTAACGGTGCTTCCAGTTTTTCAATAATCGTCTAACTTAAATTGTTTCGGGATGTCCATCTAATCGTTTTTGCATTATAGAATGGTTGATGCAGTGATGTAATCACTGATATTTGTTGTTCATAAAACAAACAATGTTTCATCTATTTAGTTTTTAAAAACTCTACCCAACATAGAAAGATAATTGAGATGAAGTTAGTCGTAACTGAATAATTATACTCTACGTATCCCAAGTGCTGTCAGGAAAAGATGAGTGCGAAAGCGGAAGTTACTATAATGAAGTTTGTTAAACTAAAGCTGATGTAACTCAATTATCAAGTCCAAGTTTATGTACTTGGCTTTGAGCCATGATTTATACGTAATAAGAAGGCTAGTAACACTACTATCTGATTGCCCAAACTGAAGTAGATAGAATAAGACTCGAACCTGCGACTTAGTTGTTTAAAGTTAAATGCCTAAAATCATTAAAAACCCTACGCCTCACTGTTTAACGACTTATTTCAGTTTAATTGTAAATTTGTTTTGCGATTGGATTATGAAACGTTATTATCACACATAACATGTGTGTTTGTATGTTGGAACTGCACCAACACGTCTCAAAGTTGTTGTTTTCTAACCTTCTGTTCTTTCAACCTGTTTTTCTGTTTGATCCTTTTTTTCTTTAGGCTGCAGCAGAAAAACAAGCTGGTCTTCCTGTTGCCCCTTATATGAATCCAGATCTTGTAGTGAAATCCAGTAGTCAGTTGAACTTTTTGCATAGTATTCTAATACCATTAGTAAAGGAACTGACCTATATCTTTCGTGAATTACACGTAAGTAATGCGTAGTTCCTTTTCATTTTACTGTTTTCATTTGACAACATGTTTCTACTCCACAATTTTCTGTATGTGTGTGTGCCCAGATTGAGATGCTTGCTTGATATTTTACTATTCTAACTTTTTTTATGAATGATCTTAGTTATTATTTTCAAGGCTATTTAGTCACAAGGTAGATAAACCGAAATGTGATATCAGCCCATCAACTTATTGACTGTTCATCTGAGTTATGTTAGTACACGTGTAGATTATCTTCTGGTTGGGGCTAGCATGCTTACCATAACCAGTGGTTTGGGACGTTGAGTGACATAACCCAGAATCAGTCTCTGTGACCTGATCCATTCGTTGTTTGTTTACTACCGGATCCTGAGTTATGAAGTTATTTCTTGAATTAATTCTTACTTTTTGAATTCCTAACCTTAATCTTTGCTTTTTTACAACTAAGTTCAGCTTTTTGGTATTCATCTTGCTGTTTTGGTATGGTGTGGCAATTTGAACCGATACACATGTGTGGTGGCAGGCTCTATTACTAACTGCTTATTACTAACTGGTTGATTAGTCGGTGCTTGTAAACAAGGCGTATCTGTAATCTCGATGAAACTGATATTCTGTGTGTTATATTCAAACTTGAATCACTTTTGATCAGCATTACATACTAGTCAATATAACATTAATTATGCCACTCAGTGATCGAAAAGTTCAGATGTTTATTAACCTACCTATCTGGTTTGATTATAACAAATAAAATAAGCTTGAAATTATCGACAGAATTGTTAAGAGTTTGATTTTACATGATAATCTATATACTCGCTATAATCTAATCACAGTTTTCGACTAAAATGCAATTACAAGATTTAAATGTTTTCAACCACTGATTAGAAGTATAGGTCTAGGTCTTAACCCTAGAAAACTTATTGTTTTAAGTAGTATATACGTATATATATACATTGTAAATTCTTAGTACTAATTATCAAACTATAGAAATGTTTGTCTAGTGAATTATTGTATGATTAGTTTATTTTATCCGTATAAATTTAATAGTTCTGTTTTAACTCAATCCCTTTTTTCATTTCGCTTTTCAGGTACTTTTGGAATCTGCGCATAGACGATCAGAGCATTTCTCTAAGATTAGACAATATGAATTAGCTCAACAAGAGATGGATAGTAACTGTTGTTCAACATCAGTAACCACAACATCATCGTCGACAGTACCAATAACAACAATTACTAGTACTTCTGTATGTCATGTCATGAAGTCTAATGTACGGGTCAGTATTATTATTATTATTATTATTATTATTATTATTATTATCTAATTGATATAAATTAAATGTAACTTATTTATCAAGTGATATTGATCTCATTTGTGTATACCTATTTAATAGGTCCATTATTTTATTAACTTCACTAGTGATGAGTCTATTTGGGTTAATTATATCAATGATCAACTTATTCCTGTTTCTAGTTTGCTCAGTCAGAGCATGAAAAAAGTCATTGGATTTATTCTGTTTATTTTATTACTCGAATTGCACACGGCCATAAATATCAACTTCACGATTTCGTAACTCACTGTAAACAAGTTATCACAATCTGTACATTGTTATGTGATCTATGTTATAAAACAAATTAACAAGCACATAATTATGAACGGCAAGAGAAGTATCATCAATCAATGATTTAATTAGAAGCTTACAATAAGGATAATACAAAAATACTGTAAATCAAATACTTTTTCTGTTTATTCACTCCTGTCTAACACCGAGTACAGGTTCTTATTTACTCGGCTTTGAGGCATCTTTTTATGCATGGAAAACTAGTCATACTACCAGCTTGCTCATAGTGACAATAACTAGATATGGAGTTCGAGCTAGCAGCAGTACAGTTAAATATCAGTTGACTTAGCTGCTAATCGATCATTATTTCTGTTTATGTCAGACTACAAAATATTATTCATAATATTAATTATAGTAGCATCATCTCTTAGGTAGAGGTCATTAAACTTCATGAATTTATCTGTTTCTCTCCGATTTTCAGTATGAGATTGTGGAGACTGTTGAATTTCGCTGGACTAATGAACCGATCAAATTTAGACCGCCATTGAGAACCTGGAAGCTCTGGGTGGCTGTTTCGTCCTAGAATGGAACTCTTTAGCAGTGCGCATTCACGATCCCACCTACGGGAGTCGAACTGAGGACTTTTGGTCTCGCGCTAACGCTTAACTTCTAGACCACTGAGATGGCATCCATAATGTCGATGTCTAACTTTAATCACTCCAAGACATTGCGCTACCCCCTTCAACTGTCTTTCGTAGGTTTCTGTTTCACATCCGACACGAATTATCTCTACTGGTCATGACTTCTCACCAGAACTTTCTTCGATTTACAGATTAACACTGACACTGCTTATGTATATATAGTCAGTTTCATCAGTAACTGATATCGCATAACCATAATTGTAATTCGATAAGCACTGGAAATGTTTGGTCATATTTCGGTGCTCCTCAGAGATGCACATCCACGACGCAACATAAGATCAAACATGATATTAACTTCGTGAAAGTGCGAATGTATAGTCAATATAAAGTCTATCATTAATGCTCATTAGCTCAGGTTTTCAGATGACATCAACTTAACGACATAAATTTCGCAAGGTGAATAACAAAAAAGGTAGAAATAATTTAGTCGTGACGACGGTGAGAAAGATTAAACATTAAGAATACGGTTGGAGAAGACATAGTGAATGGCGTATATGAAGGAATACTGGAAATGAAGATGTAGAGGAAGATGAAAGTAAAGAATGAAATATTCTGTGCCTTTTTAACAGATTTTGATTAATGTCAACCAACTTTGCTAACCATAACTACTGAACGAGTTTATTGCGCGGACCTCAACCAGGTAGGTAATTTGCATCTGCTCAACTGACTCAAGTCAATCGCTGACTTCGTGAAATGAAACCACTCTTTCGTTTGGTTACTTCTAGCCTTCCCTCAACTCACCACTACACCAACTAGAACAACACATCAAGTTATGTTGTGGTTTGGCAGACGTAGCATATATCTTGACCATCTCACTCGGTGAAGATTTAGTACTCTATCAACTGATTTCCAATTTTTTCATAAACTAAATTTGAACTTGATAGTTCACTCGTTCAACTTATTTGAGCGTAAGGTATTGCATGATCTTCATCCAATGTGATTGATGAACCAAAGCCTCATTCCTAATATGTATGTCCATAGATTATGACTTCTTGTTGGAATTCAATAAAACTGATTAACCTCTATATTCCCTGAAGCAAACCGTAACTTAGTGGTACTATATCTTATGAACAAACCAATCAAATAGATCATCCTGCATTTTTACATGAAGTTGACTCATCTATATTGCTTCAACTCACTTTTTAAATTGTATATGACAGGGAAATCCACCAAACCCTTCGTTCTGAAGCAAACCTAAACCTGTTAAAGGCTTGTTTTATGGAGGAGCTAATCAAATATTGTACCTTGTAGGTTTTTACGAAATTCATTTATCGATATGAGTACAGAACATTTTCAAATTATAACTGATCCCATTTCTTGATGAAAACCTTAACCCTGTGATCCCCAGTCCTAACTAAAAAATTCTCTGTGGATTCTTCGAAAACAGTTTAGGTTGTCATAAACGTTCAGGATGACAGATAATCTATATCCATAAAGATCAATATATATGCAGTTTTTGTCTATTTACTAACAGAATAAGTTGTAAGAGAGAATTTTGACAGATGTATTAACTGTGTAAATACTGCTTACGTTTTGTAATATCATTTGTTTTCTCTCCATAAACAGTTCATTTACAAAAGTTGTTTTCTAATTGATTAAGTTCACCGCTTTGTTTTATCTGTCTTACCAATTTACAATAGAAATATCTTTGTGTAGTATTCGTAATTTCTTAAAATTTTTAGAACATAATTCTTTTTGTTATCACAAACTGGAAACGATAATGTTAAAAGCATCAAGTGCTCACTTTTGAGTACATATGTATGTACATTACGTAACACGTGAATCAATCAGTTTTGTTCGAGTTTACTTTAATTCGAATAAATTCGCTAGAAAGATATCTTATTAACGGTTTATTGAATAATAATTAAACTAGTGAAGTAAAGATATTAAAATAGATAACGATCTTCATCCCTGACTTTATTATCATATATGATATGTCGATAACGATTATACCTCTATGATTTCATCTGTATAATTTTTCAGTAAATTTATTATCAAAGATTTTTTAGGTGATGATGGATTTTTATGAAGCTATTTATGTCTACAAGAAAGATTGTGCAATAAGTCTCTAGCGTGAATATGTTAACCTTTACATTATTGAGATTATGCAATGGTACTTCTACAATACTAAAATCGGGAAATTGGTAATAATCCTTAAAAAGCTAATAAACTTCTTTAGACTACTAAATTTTAATAGTTTCTGTTACTTCTGTTGAGAAATATTTCTATTTATCGCACATCTCTTCTCATTAGCTGTAAAGTTGTGTCATAACCAATCTAGCTGTCATTTTAAGAGAATTATTCAAACTCATCTCATGTCGGTGGAAGTTATTTATTATGTTTTTAGTGTTTAATAGGCATACGGCATCTAAGAATCAGTGAATGATACGGTAAACCAGCCAGAAGCAGCCAAATGAGAAGGCTGATCGATGACCTGAAGAACAAGTGCATCTCATTGGCTATAAAATGGATTTATTTTTTATGGGGTAGAGTGTTGTATATATATGAGTATTTGTCCATTTTATTCCGTAGTTCAATGTGCTTTCTCGTTCACTCTTGTGTTCTCGCTCAAGTAGTCAGTTGAAGAGTTAGTGCGTAGCACGTCCTGTACCAGATTTCGGACACCCCTCGTCATGACAGTGAATGCTGTGTGTAATAGTTTGGGCTTCATCGTAGATTTCATCTCAAACATTTGGAATTACCCACAATCGTCTTCCATGTCGGATGAAAAACGTCATTAACCGTGATTCCGGAAACGGATACTGATACACAAACTTCTTATAGTCGAGCTCCCAGCCGACTACTAAGTAAGAAGACTAGGAGTGAAGAATGAAGTTTACTGGACAAAAATGATTCGCATCCATAAGTACTTATATATATGTAAACGTTAGAAAATGAAACCATTTCTTGACCAATCACATGAACTCATCATCAGAAGATTCTCGATTGGCACCACTTCGTGACCTCATTTGGCGACTTCCGAGTGGCCCATTGCATCAAGAAACTCAGGTTTATTGTAAGTCAGGGTTTGTAATAAAATATTTGAGGAAAATTAATGTCGCCAATGATGCAGTACATACTCACTTAATTCAGGTAAAAGTACAGGGAAGCGTTCGACACCATACACTGCAAATGTGTTACATAACTTCAGCTTTCATCCCTAATAAACCAACTTTCACCAAAATAATTATATTTTTGTACTAGCTTACCTAATGATAAATAAACCTGTCTATCAATAAAAAGCAATGTCGTAATCGAGCTTTTTGATGTATATTTAGTTTGACTGTTAGAGAACATTGCGTGTGATTTACTAAATTGGTCAACTTGATGCATACATTGTGTGTATGTGTGTCATCTATTTTCTCCTCTGTTGTCAAGGTATCGCGTTCAATGTAGATTCATAGATATATTTCTCTCTTTATCTCTTTCACTCTCACTCTCTCGTTATCTCACTCAGTCAAGTATCTGCCATAATGTGTAATTACATTAATTACACTTATGAAACTACTTCATTTTACGTCATTTGACTGATAGTTATTTTTGTTATATAAGTAAACTAGTTTCCTTTTATGGAAATAAATGTATACCAACACTACATTGTTCCTGCTAATTTATGGCGTATTTTCGTCATCATTTTGGATAAGTTTATTAAATTTACATGTTAAAGTTAAGAATGACAGAAATTACATCTGTTTACATATATATACACATACACATAAGTAGAATGTTCTTCAAAAATACCCTCAATTTTAATTTTTTTTTATTAATATCTTAAGCTAAATTGTGTTTGATGGAGTAAGGCGAACTTTAGCTGTATTGGTTTAGTTAATACTCATTTCGTCCAATTCGGGACTCGTCATCTCGATTTACCTACATCCTAGTGTTGCATACATACCGTAACTCCAATCCCTCCCCCCGAGTACCTTTTACTTTAAATATTCAACGCACTATCCACTAAGCTATTAAATCGAAATAACGACTAGCTTGTACAATAGGCCTGCAAGGGTTTGGATT